CTCAGCCTCCCAAGTAGCTGGGATTACAGGCACCCATATATATATACAGTTTGAAAGCAGACAGATTACAGGCACCCAATATATATACAGTTTGAAAGCAGACAGAATTGAATCCAATTCCCATTTCTGCCACTTGTAAGCTGTATTTTCCGTAATCGCTCCAAGCTCCAGTTCCCTCCTCTGGAAAACAAGAGCAGTTGTAGCTTCTTCTCCAGGTTATTCTGACCCTAACGATGTACCTGGTACCACCAGTGCTGCTTCTGTGAACTCCTCTCCTTTTTCCTTCCTCACCACTGCCCATGCTCTCTACTTTCCCTGAAATGGCTAGAACCGAATATATATGACATGTTAAATCATTTCTATATGAAAAATGAAGAGTTCAATATCTTCCCTTGTAATTTTTTTCTAGCAACTGTTATTAGAAACTTACAGAAATAGAACATTTTAGGTTGCTCTCCAGGGGAATAAAAGACATCTATCTTTGTTCGAACGTGACCCTCACTTGATTTTTCTATTCTATCCGTGACTCCCCATCAGGGGAAGATGTTCATGGGGTCAGGGGAGGGGGCTTCTGCCCCTCAAGTTTGTTCCATGAACTTGCTAACCCTTGAGCTGTAGGATTAATCTTTACAGCTCCAGAGCAATTTCTCTGCTTGGTGTCTCTGTGCCAAAGATCCCGACTGCCCATAGTGTTGGTGTGGTAAAAGTCATCCTGCACAAATAGCTACCTAGGAGCGCAGCATCAGTGCCTGTGCCAGGACCCAATGAACACAAATGAACTAACCAGGTAGAGGGAGGGACGTGGAAGCTTGTTCCCACAGGGCACACAAGGGGGCAGCAGAAAGACACAGCTTGTGATTTGGAGATTAATCTCTGTCCGCCTGACTTTCGAGCAACTTGAAAGGGATCAGAGGCTTGTAGAAAGGAACAGTGGATAGAATCTGAGTCCAATTCTGCTCTTTTATAGACGGGGAGACTCAGGCCCGGAGAAGGGAAGTCGGTTCTGTGGGTCACATTAGCTGGTTAGCAGCAGAGCAGTAACTGGAATCCCCCCACCATCAGCCTACACTGCCAGGCATCTGGCCCCATCCCCAAGGTGGACACAACAACGTTCCCTCTTTTCTCACAAATAATAAGCTTGGGGATTTTTCTGATATGAAAAATATATCATGTTTATGAAAGAAAAACTAAAAAGGTATTAAAGAAAACAAAATCACCAATGTACTAGGCCAGGCCTGGGAACTCACGCCTATAATCCCAGCACTCGGGAAGGCAGAGGCAGGTGAAATTGCATGAGCTCAGGAATTCAAGACCAGCCTAAGCAAGACCAGCCAAGCACTATTTTTATCTCTAAAAATAGTGAGGTGTTGTGGCAGGAACATGTAGTCCCAGCTACTCGGGAGACTGAGGCAAGAGGATCGCTTGAGCCCAAGAGTTTGAGATTGCTGTGACTCTACTGAGGGCAAGTCACTGAGACTCTGTCTCACTCCGACTCTCTGGGGTGACTGTCACCATTTTTGTGAACCTGCTAACATTTGACCTTCTTTTTTTGCAGTTTTTGGCTGGGGCTGGGTTTGAACCCACCACCTCCAGCACATGAGGCCAGCACCCTACCCCTTTGAGCCACAGGTGCCGCCCAACATTTGACCATTTTTAACCTACACAAATGACAATTTCATGTGGTCTAGCCTAATATTTCCTTCCACCTTTTCTCCACAACCGGCATAAAACCATTTTTAAATACAAAACTGGGATGGTACTCAATGCGTATATGTGTGTGTGCATGTTTAAAGCACGCCTTTTTTTAAATGAGATATTAGCAATTTCAAATATGTATAGAGAATAAATCCAGGTCCACTGATATGCTTACCAACCACCTCCCCAGTGAAATAAAATGTCACATAGACAACTGAAGCCCCCCACATGTCTTTATGCGTTCCTCACAAGGGGAGCCCTCTCCCAATCACCTGGAGGTAACCACTCCCATAAATTTGATATTGATCATCATAGGTTTGCATTACTAAACACCTTGCAGTATCGTTTAGCATTTTTAACTTTACATAAGTGAGACCCGGGTGGATGTATCTTCTGTGACTTTTCAAGTTTACTAAATATGACATGCATTTTTGAAATTACGTATGTTGATGTTAGGTATAATAGCTTCTGTTCGCTCATCTTCAGTTTTTTGCGATTAAATATTAAGAACTGCTGTCTGTCTCACTCCATGCGACAGGTCTGTCCCATGGTGGGGACTCTGTCTTAGTTGTCTATGCCACTTAAGAGGCCCCACAAACAAGTGCAAGAAGTGAAAGACTGAAAAGGCCGCACTTGTCTGCTGGATACTCAAGGCAGGCAGCATTGATGATAAGAAGGCACTTGCGCCTGGGGGAGGCAGACATCAAAGCTGGACATTCCATTATGATGCCACCCTCAGGTGACAGTGCTGGGGCATCTGGTCTAGAGCCACAGAGGCAGGCAGGCACACTAGGGAAAGCTTCCAGAGGGCCCTGGGCTCGTTACTGTAAGATGAGTAGGTCCCTTTCACCATGGCAACCATAAGCCCACATTTTCAGATAAAGGCACTTATA